GCAAGTCTGATTTTTGGAGTATCATTTCAAGGACTTAAAGTGCTTCTCATTCCTTTGATTTTCCACAGTACTTCACAGAGTAAGCATTCTTGACTGCCTTAATCTTAGGGTCTTATTTTTTTGATCCACTGTTAGTTTAGGGTTGTTTTCCACTTTTTCTTTTTTTTTTTTTTCCTAGAAACAAAGAGATTGATACATACAATTATCAGGAGCACACAGAAAATTAGTTAAGGCAAATTCTTGACTTGCCTACTTTTGTGTGGCCTATGGGTCATCCCAATTTATTAAGGTTAACAGTGAAATTGCTCTAATGCAAAGAAAGCAATTTAACAGGTATGTAATTTGAGGGGTAGGATTTCATTCTTTCTTTCTTTTCCAGGCCAAACTGTAATTCTGCCAATTGGACCCACCTCACTCTGCCCCCAGAAACCAACCACTTCCAATGAAACATCAGCAGAGAACATTTTCTAGCCAGCAGTTTGCATCAACACTGTTCATGCAGCTGAGAAGCATCTGGCCAGATTTTAATTGAGCTTTTCCAAGTAATGGACCTCAGTGAGGGATCAAGCACAAAGATACGAAGTAACTGAAAAGGAGAGGGGGTGACAGACATTCAAATGGTAAATGAAGCAGCAGTAGCTGCTGTGGGCAGGTGTCTCTGAGATCTGCAGCAAATTTCAGTCTGGAATTCCTGAATGATACCTCCTTCACACCAGGGATGCTGGCTGTACGCTGGGGTTCGAGCACCCACGGCTCTGCTCCTCAGTGTGCTGCCCACTGGGGCTTTATCCCGTGGTGCCTGTGAGACAAGCACCCTCCTTCTGCTGCTAGGAGAGACACCCCTTGCTCCTGGTGTCAGCAGCCACCAAACTTGCTGACAGTCTCCTTCGCCCTTAAGACACCCAAACCGCAAAAGACTGATGGAGGCTCTAGTGCAATTCAAGCCCAACATATTTTGGAAACACTGTGCTGTGATGAAACAGTGCAAAAAACTCATCTTCTAGGAAAACAAATCCTCATTAGATGAAAAATACATGGAAACAGCTATAAAAAATATGTCAGAGCTGTACTGCAGGGTTTCAGTATCATTTGCCTCATACTCATTACTGAAATTAATTCGCGAGACTTGCCATGATATGCTGATAGGATACAGCTGTAATACTTTAAGCTGTTGTTAAGAATTCAAAACATGACAATCAGAACAGTTCTCTTTGTATACAATTAGAACATTTATTTGCTTGTTCATCGCAAAATTAGGTATTAGAAGCAACCAGGAGCTGGGAAAGCAGCCAAGCAATAAAATTGATTGATTGCCCAAACACATAAAAATCATATCCACAGCTTTCAAACATTCTCTCAAAAGCAGAAAATCAGCTCTTCAACATTACCAAACAACCTGGTTAGACAGGATGGCAAACCTGCTGTTATATGGAAGACAAAGTTTGTCTGTGAGGTGTAGCTGAAACAATTACTGGTTGATCAAAACAGAGTGCGCCTCCATAAGTCTGTCTCTGTTTAAACTAGCTACCAGAAATTATTCAGAAATGCCATTTTTCTTTATTCTTTGATTACATCAGACATACATTTGAGTGTTGAGGGAAAATATACCAGTCACATCATCTATGGTTTTTTTCCAAAAAAGATACACTAATTTTCCTTTTCAACTGCTTCTTTCATAAGGTTACAGACCGCTTCCCCACAGCTCATCAGTTTTCTTTGGTTCATACATTACAATCAAAGTGGATCAATCCTTACAACAAAAGGATCCAGATATCAAATTATACCCATTTCTCCTGGAATACCACATCATTCTCTCAAAGTCAACATTTTCCAAACCAAGCATTTATAGTACGAATGGGCTATAAACTGCAGAAATGGAGGCAAGTTTGGTACATTCACAGGCAGATTTTTCAGTGAAAGGCTGGTATATTCAGCCTCTAGTTATCAGCAGAAGAATAAGAAGTATTTAAAACTGGGAAAATAATTCAACTGAAGGTATTTTAACTAAGCAAATTAACTGTTTTTTCATTGAAAGAAATCCCATTAAGAAATCTGAATTCAGCCTTAGAGAAGGTGCTGAATACAACTCTGTGTGTTCTAGTCAAAGTCAACTCAAAAACTGTTTCTGATCCTTACTGACTGAATCAAGGCCACAGCTGTGCATTCAAAATTCACATTGGTTTTCGTTATTATTATGTGTGACAGCTTTAGTCAGTATGAAGGATCAGAATTCATGGCACAGAGCATTCAGAAGGATTCAGTGTCTTGCCCTGGCAGAAGCTACTCAAAATCCAAGTCTTTCCAGGCTCTGATCAAGGAAAAAAATACTGCTGACAGGTCCAAAAAGTTGTTGAAATACTTTTCACAGGAGAAGTTGCTTATAAGACAAAAAATCTAACAAATATATGGCAATAAATATCTTCAAAGGTTTTTGTAAGTATTAACTAATAAAAATTAATTTCACTAAATCTTCTACTTGACTCTTAAGTGGTTGGTTAAACAAAACAGCCAAACAAACCTATCTGCATGCTTAAACTAGAGCTTCTGAAACAGATTTGATCCACATTAATTATTAAAAATAATAAAGCATCATAAATTTTACCTACATATATTGAATGGACATTACTCAGCAATCTCTGTACTGTAAGAGTTGCAATAGTTCTTTTGGTTTTTAAATTGTGGTTCAGTTTTCCATATCACTGTAATTACTGCAGCTGCACTGTTGCCAGCAAAATCCTAGACTCTAAGCTCTTGGCTATGACAGCACATCTAAGTAATCACCATGGAATAGTAGGCTAAATTCAAACAGGTTTCTTTTTATGAGCTATATACATGAGCAAAAGCTAGAGCATGTTTAAACAAAGCAAATCAATTCAAGTCAAGCCTCCCTACTTAATAGATTCACACAGCTTATTAAGAAGAGCAAACATGCCTTAATGAAGAACACCCATCTTCGAAATGAGAGAAATAAGGCCTTGGTTGTGCTATCCAGGCAGGGCAGGGCATAGCCCCAGTTTCAGGATGTCTCAGTGCTCAGAGAAGCAAATCCATTATGAAATGAGTTTACTGTGGACTTTTCACTCTTCTGCCCATTGCTTGTTGTCCTACTTTGCTACCTAGCAGAGCTGTCTTGATTAGCTGATGACTCCTCTCTGGGTACGTCACCCTTTGAGGATAGCAGGAGTCATGGCTAAAGTGACTTCTTATTCAGCTGGACTTTCCAAATGACAGCTTATTCCTCTTCCCCTTCTAGAAAATCCCCAAGCACTTCAGAAACTAGTAAGGTGTTAACAAATACTGGCTCTAAAGAAATATTTAGAATAATCTTAGTCAGTGGAAACTACCACTATCACTTCCTATAATGAAAACTCTTCCTTTCACATATTTTATTTCACCTCTAGTAAAACTCAAAGAAATTGTTGATGTAAGTTGGTCAATAATTGTGTCATCCTTGGACTGTGACACCTCATGTTCTACACACCTTTTCCACTGACTTGTCCATTATAGTTAACAGCTGTAATGGCTCTAATTTCTGTGTGAGGCAACCATTGTCACTCTAGGGCTCATGAGCAATGAATGCCACACTACAAACATTCTTTCTAAAAGGTACTAAAAGATTTGGAGGCAACAGTTCCAAACCAAGAAACTCTCCTTAGATTATACCATATTTGTGTAGGAAGGTAGTCAGACTATTACAAATTACATCTTTTATAACACACAGTTTGTCCGATTTTCCTTGTGTTTTGCCCCAGTAGTTGTAAGTATGGACAATAGAAGTGTCCCTATCATAGGCAATAGAAGTGTGAATAAAAGCTATTATTTTAATTTGCAACACTTAGCTACTCCTTAACCATGGTGAATTTGTCCAGATGAGTGACTAGAATGAACTGGAAGGCTCAAAAGCTCCAGAACAGGAACTGATTAGCTGAGAATCTCTTATCAGAGGCACTGGGCATAGGTCCAGTGGTTCATATACACAGACACACATCACATTCAGAAATTAACTACTTGGTTCATTATGTAAATTTTTACAGCTAATTACAAAATACATGCTAAGGAGTGCTTCATATTCCAAGGGAGTTTGATCTCTATGAAAATGATTAAATATAGAATTGGTAACTAGATTAATCATTTAATAAAAATTTTAAAAGGAAAATCTAGGAAAATGAAAACAATTACTATACAACACTGTGACTTCATGCAGAATTAATTCAGAATTTCAAATGGAAAATCCAGTTTGCTTGGAGGTTTTCCTGTTTATCATATTTTTAAAACTGTCTATCTGACACCATCATTTACTGTGCACGGTACATCTTGCACAAAATTCCAATGCTCTCTTGGGTTGCATCACCTCTCTGACCAAACAACCTAAAAATACATGGTTACTTATGAAGAGAATTCAAATGGATAAAATGCTAATATAAGTGGTATTGAATTAGAAATAGAAAGCTCACCAACATTACTGAACAGGTTAAATTAGCATTCTTCTACAACATTAAGACTGTCACAGAACACAGTTCAGAGTACAAGCCTTTCTCTATCTTTTATTCAAATTAATGCCTGGCTTTTCCTTGTTTTGTGGCTTTATACTGATGGAGAATTAAGATGGAGCACTCAGCTCCAGGTACTATTACTCACAGGAGTCCCAAACCCCACCAGGCAGCCAACATATATATCGAATAAACAATGTGGTGTATGCCACAAGTATGTCTGGTTCTGTCATGAACAGAAATATTTTAATACTATTGTTTTCTTCTCCCCTCATCAGTGAGGGAGGAGATACTCTCATGAGTTGCAGATCCTTGTAGTTTTGTAGTTAGAGCAGTATTTCCTCATTATCTACTACATACATCCACAGGGCCTGAAAAAAGAACTTTTCATACACAAGGATTGAATTCTGCAACAAGCTGCAGAGATGCTTTATATTAGCTAAGTCACAAACCCAGGTTCAACCTGCTTTATTAAAACACAGACATGTCACACCATGGCACCACAAAAACTTACAATTCAAGCATTTTAATACAGCATTTAAACACAGTTGTTAGCACTTGACAAGAACCCTGTTTTCCTGTGATAGATGTTTTTCTCTAGGCCTCCAATTTCAAGAAGATTTGAACAGAAAAGTAGCTCTTTCCTCACTGACAGAAGTGTACATGGATAAGCTCAATGCCATCTTGACATGTTTCTCTTGGTTGGATTTTTTTCCTGTCTTGACTTACATTTCTTCTTCAGACAGGGAATTCTATGGAATTGCCTTTATGATTCTGTACAATAGTGGGACCATTAAAGAAATACAGGTTCACAAGCCAGAGGAATCCATCTGTTTCCAGATATTTCATAGAAAACATCATCTTCCCTCCTGTGAAAACATGAAAGCTGCAATATCACACTCTGTCTTCGGTGTTTCCAAGGTGGGATCTCCTCTACAATTCTATTTGTAGTGGGCTCTTTCAGAAGAATTATTTCAATATACTAGAGTTAATGTATAATATCTGAACTGCAAATCCCACATCTCCGGCGAATTTCTTTCATGACATAAAATTCAAGCTCTCACTAAAAATTTATGGTATTATAGTGGTGCTTTATGATGGGAAGAAAAAAAACCCAAACAAACCAAACAAAAGCCCTAACTGAAAAACTCTGCATTATAAATTTTCATTCTTTTATAAATTTTCACTGACATCAGGTGATCTTTGTACTGAGTATCCATGAATAAGCTGAGGAGTAGCCTGCTTGATCAGAAGTATTTACAAAGCAAATCTCAACTATTTCAGCAGTCCTGCAGTGATGCATGTGGAGCTTGATACTCTTTGTGCTGAAGTCAAAGACACATTTACATCAATGGGAGGCTTTAGAGAAGCAAAATGAAGAAAGGAAGGATAATGATCAAGACGGTTGAAGTCCCAGGGGAAGCTGTGCATATTGACCCAGAGTAAGGCTAGGTAACATACCATGATGTAAGAAACTAGGGCTTATAGGAGGGGGAGATCAAGCAGGCAGATGGAAGATCAGATAGCTGAAGGGAATTATCAGAAGAATTTACATCACAAAGGCTGAAAATAGAGGCATATATGATCAGTAACTTGGGAAAAAAATGATGGTGATGGTCAGCAATTTAGATAAGCGTAAAGGAAGATAAGGCATAAGACTTGGAGATGAAATGATTAGCAGGGGAAAAAAAACAAAAGTGGGGGGGGGAAATTAAGAGAAGTTTCACTATAACCTCATTTCTAAGCAGAATACTTCTTACTCCCTTAGGTGTTGCATGAAGCTTCTAGAATACTTATAATTTTTTTAGATATAACTGAATGTAGCCAAATCAGAAACAATATGATACAAAAAAAAATTAAAAAAAAAATAAAAAAAGAGAGACAATAATTTGAAAGAGCTTCTGCAATAAAGCCTCCTGCTGAAAGACATGAACCAGAACACAGAAAAACATTTAGCAGATAATGTTTCTGCAGGTTTACAATAGTGTGTTTCAAAGCAGTGAGGATACTTTGCCTCTCTATCATGTCAGTTTGTTTGTGAGACTGAGAATGAGCAATCTGACCAACTGGAAGCACAACAAAGGACCAGCAGGAATTTTACTGGCAACAGAAGATTAAAGAGCTGAACATTGAGTGTCTGCTTCAGAATTGCAACTGGAGAAGAAATACTGCTGGGGAAAAAGAGACCAGGAAAAAACAGGAGGATTCTATTCTGGACTAGCAAGGACAGAATGCCCTCAGACTAATCTTTTAGAGAGTCCCAGGACAGGTCTACTCTGCATAGTTTCATCAAAAGGAAGCTTCAATAGTGATCAATACATAGCATTTCCTTTAGGGAGGGAAAATAAAAATATCTTTGAGCTAGGGGGGAAAGCATTAACAACTTCAAGTGAGAATGACATACATTGACACCCAGCTTGCAATGTCCTTTGGAGAGCTGTAAATATGAGAGGTCTCTAGAAAGATAGAAGTTGTGACTAGGAAGCAGCAAGATGAACTAGAGTTATGCAGAAGTAGCTACAGGAAGCCACATATGTGTAGGCTGTATGATATTCCACTCAAAACTGATGCACAAGACATAAATCAGTGACAATAAAGAAAAAAAACTCATACACTATCTTTAAATTTAAAATACATGACAATGGAATCACTTTCATTGGTGCTGCAAATTCTATTGTTTTATAGCTACTTTTGCATGGCACTTCTGCATTTTCCCAGAGCTCTGAGCTAGATTCTGCATTGTGTCAGCAAGCAAAATCAATAATTTCTGAAAGGTGCAATGGGAAGGGTTCTCACGTATCTACAACAACCACTTTTATTTTAGCTGCAGGTAATGTTTAGAAAAAACAAATGTGAGATAAAATAGAGTCCAGAAGTGATTAGATCATTTAGAGAAAGTGTATTTGCCCCACTTGGCGAAATCTATTTTCTGGATTTTGCCCAAAAGGGGAAAAAATGCTTAGTCAATAAGCACTTCTGTTTCTAGAACAAACTGTTTTGATTTGATTAATATCCTTGACAGTACTGGAGTGGGAAATTATTATAAAATGATATTTGAAATATTACCTTGAAGTTTTAAGCAATATGTTCCAATTATCTGAGATGAAATAATTCAGCTCTCTAAGTATTATTGACTCAGAGTAAGGATACTAAAGTTTAATCAGAATTGTACTTCTCTTTCAAACTATACTACTTTTACAAAACATGCACTGTAGTTTAAAGTAAAACCATACATTTGTTATAATTGCATTAATATTAGGCAGAGTTACAACACATTGCAAAAAGGATTTAGTTAAAAGTAATGTACAGCAGAACTACTAAAGAAAATTCACCAGCACAGATGATCTTAAAAATATATAGTGAAGTAACTCTTCTTTCTAGATAATACAGCACATTGTGTACTTATACTTCTGTTGAAAATTTACTCTTATTTCTACTTCTCTCATCTGTTGAAATCTGAAACTCTGTTCTGCCATTCACATTGAATCAATCTACTCACATTGACTTAATGAAAAGTACCAAAAGTATTATTCAATCAATTTGGACACTGAGTACGTAATTTTCAAGAGAGATCAGACTTCCTGAATTAATATTTCTCCTTTCATCTTCATACAAGAGTGCTATTGTCACAAATGCAGAATATTGAAGGACATAGTCAATATAATAGACTATTAGGAGTATTGGGTATTTATTTATTTATTAGTTGAATCATTTAGTTATGTAAAAGGAATAATGCACAGATAGGTCATCCTTTGGATCCACAGACCTTGTATACGATACATGCAAGATTTCTCCAAGGCTGAATTTCCAGGCTCTCTGTACTACCAGAATAAAAGAAGGAAAAAAAAGAAGCTAGAGGCATTTGAAAAGCATGACAGCTCAGAGAAATCATCTGCATACCATCTATATGACACAGCTAGAATAAGTCCAGGAGTGTTCACCCAGCTGCAGCCTAAGGGATCTGTCACGCAGCCAGCTGCTGCTGCTATTTGACATCTGGGATCTGTAACTGGCATTGAAAAGCAAAAAAAAAAAATTTAAAAAAAGAAAAGAACTGAAGAGTTATGTGAGGTTAACAACAACAAAAACAAAATTCCCTATCTCTCCCAACATTAAAGGTATTTCTAAAGAAAGAAGTAAATTTTGATGCCGCGGATGGAGCCCCCGTGCACTGCATGCATACAGCGTACAAATGAAAGGTCAAACAACTCCTGGCAAATGAGTGAAGTGAGTGTAACACAATGAAACTCTTAGAGAAACACATTCATACTGCTAAAAGCAGCACTGTATGCCCATATCTGACCAGCAGTTTTTTTACTTACGGCTCCACTTGCAAAGATTACCAAGGTTAGTTCATGCTGTGGGGGTGAGAGCTCCTGGTTAAGGCTGACTCAGTGTTCTCAAGCATTATTCCAAGGGTATCCAATTCTCCACACAGAGGAAACCTCAGCCTGGTTTCCCCTGGCTGTTTAACAGTGCTTACTGGGCACAGAGAGAAGTTTCAATCAGTGAAGTGACTTCCCTGAGAATCAGCAGAGCTAGGGAAGAAGAAACCATCCTGCCAAAGATGTGGCCCTTGCACAAAAGCCTGGATCCTCCTACCATGCCAGGGACCAGAGCACAGCATCTGTGGAGTAAGGCAGATGTATGTATACCAGGTTTCAGTGTTTTGCAAATCTCTGTGAATGACAATAAAACTGTCAATCAGTACTTCCAGATTACTGCACAAGCTGCAGACAGCTTTCCTGTCTGTGGCCTGAGCACTTCAATAAAGGTTACTGCCTCTGTCTGAAGAGATTCTCATCCTCATATGACCCCCTCTTCCTCTCATAACTGAGAGCACTTGATGTACACATGATTCAGATATGCCTACATGAAATCCCAAAAGCTTTACTGAGTAATTTCATAGAAGCAAATTGCCTGCTTCTCTGGGCTGGATCAGCAATGTTTCCCCCTGTCAATCCTCAATGGTAGTGAAGCTTTGAACTGCTGCAGTGACTCTCTGAGAGAGAGTCCTCGCTGGGAAAGATCACGGGTGGAAAGAACAGACTTCTGTGCCTTTGCACGTGTTTCTGTGGCAGTTTCTATATTTACATCTTTAGGGAACTAACTCTGGGCCAGATTTTGTCACTCCTATTCACAGTGAAGAGTGTCTCACTGCACAAATAGTCCCGAGGGACTGTACTGAGGCAATCTGGATCATGTTGAAGAGCTCTTTCCACTGTGAGAGATTTATTTTTCTGTCTGGCTTAAAGATGGCTTCAGATAAACTATTTGTAGAATTAATGGTGGTGGCAGCCTGCGACCTTTACATGGGAAGAAACACATCTGCCAGGGGTCCTCTGCTCATGCAAGGGGCAGATGACACTGCATTGAGCTTGGAGCATCTGACTGAAACAGGGAATAAGAAAGGTAAGGTGGATTTGCATTACACCGGTGCTACTCACAGGCACCTCACCAGCAAGTACAGACATAGCACTGTGCAAATCTCTGCAGAACAGACAAAACATTCCAGACAATAAAGACTTGGCCTTTGCTCTTGGCATCAGACAGCTGGCATTGTTGAGCTAGCCTGGAAATTACATTTTTGGAAGCTAAGGAACTGACAGCTGTATCTAACATGTATAGATGTTGATACTGAGTACATGTACTAGAAATGTGCTTCTGTATGAGGCTTGGATGTTGGAGCTGTGGCCATCACACCAGCAATCTTACACAGAGGTCAGAGCTTCTTCCTGAGGCAGTAAGGAAAATCCCACTGCACGAAGCAAACACACAGTAATGTATTTCTGTTACAGAGATTTATGACCAGCTAGGTTATTGAAAAATTCTGATGGGTCCTTATCTACAATATTTACTCCATAAACGGCACAAGTTATCTCCATGCCCTTTACTGTTTCACTCAGTGATCCAAGTTCCCCCTGGCCCCCAAAGTAAAACCAAAACTAGAGAAAGAACATGTAGAAAAGAAATATTCTCTGGGTTCAGGGGTGCAAAACAATCTGCCAGGTTAGTTTTGGGTGAGGGCAGGGGGTGGCTGGTAAACATAACCTTGGAGCAGGTTGTGGCCTTTCCCTCTTGGGTCCACAAACACTCTAGTCCAATAGGCTAAATGGATCAAGGCACAAAATCAATGCCTTAAAAAGCATAAGGAGGGGGAGCTAAGCAGATTTCCTTTTGTTAAGGGTTACCCATATCTAATGGAGTTAGGCCATCTACCCTACATACATCTCTTTTGAGTTTGTCTGGAAGTGGTAGATCTACTATTTGTTAAATTACTCTTCCTTATCTCATATGGAAAAAAAAGTATATACATTTTCCTACAAAGAGGCACAATTTTTTTTGCAGCAGATGGAAATACTAATATATATACATATATATCTTCCTGGGAGCCTTTAATCTGTTTTTTCACTAATTCCAACAAACACTTATTCTCCCTGTAAAGGACTGAATTATGCATGGCAGCAAAGGTTCAGGAAGAATGGAGTTGATCAGTTAGCTAGAGTTACCTAGGTATCAGCTGTCTAGCTCCATCTAGCCACTTAGGCTGCTGTCTTTAAAAGAGCTGTCTAAGGTGCAGAAATCACCTTTAAGATGTGCCAGTCTCTCTCCTGTTAGTAGTGAAGGTGTTTGGGTAAAGAGATTGAAGGACTCAACCAGTTCTCAAATGGCTGAGGCTGGTGAGGAATTCCATAGTGCCAGGGAACACAGCGCAGGACCACAGGAGCCTGAGTTCAAGCTCCCAAAATCATCCTCCCTAGCAGCATCAATTGTTGGTTTCTTTATTTCTTCATGGTCTACCAAAGGGCACTCCAGTCCCCCAGGACCAGTTCAGGTGAATTTTGTCCTACAATCAACTGCAGCAAACGTGCGCGAGCCACAGCAGAGCTGCTTTTTACACAGTGGTTGATGCTGAAACTGAGCAGGAGGAGGGCTTGTCCAGCTCACCAGTCTCTGCTGCTTCCCACAGCACTTTCCATCAGCTCCCAGGCTCTGGCGGTTCAGACACGTTTACTGCCCAAGCTATGCCTCAGAGACACCTCAGCAAGTGAGAAGAACTGAGTTACTCAACACAGACCACAAAGGCTTTCTCAGTCACTGAGTTTAAGCAATAGCATAGATGAGGTTAGACAGACTGACCATAGCATGCCCAGCATTAGCTATGCCAAAGGACTGTTTCTAAAGGGGATATCACGCTGAGTAATGAAAGGCCTTGCTTCTTTCATGGAATAAAAAATGCATGAAGTACGCCTGAGTTCCTTCCTCTCAAAGACTGCTGCTACATGAATGAGGAAAGAGATACATGCTCGGTGTCTCCTGACATCTTCAGATGAAAAATACTTTAAACCTGTATCTGGAAGAACTTTTACCAGATGAGGTCTTTACACCAGATGAAACTGAGGTTTTGATTCAGCAGGGTGGATGAGATGCTACATAGAAACCTCTAGGATATATATGTCCCTCTAAACCCACATTGCTAGCTCTTGAAATCTCCAGCTCTCATAATGCTGAAGTATAATTTTATCCCTTGATCATCTTGATCAGAAATTCAAGAATTTCAATATTTAATACAACATACATTCACCATATTCTAGCCTACCCCCTGTGGAATATTTAAAAAAAACACCCATGCCCCTAAAGATTTTGACTTTGATGACCACTTCCAATTCAAGTAATGTGGTAGGAGCATGTTTCACTGTACCCTAGTTATCCAGAACTGAGTAGATTTCCATAGTTTCCAGATTTCCTCTCTGGAAAAACAAAGGTGACATTTGGCATTAATATGTGCAACTGTCTGACCCTGATACAGAATGCAGATGCCACCAGTCAGAAGCATCTTCTTGGCCATTTAGTTTACACATAGCTCTTCAGGAACAATTTGGACCAGATTATACTTCTCAGCCTCAGAAAGCTATGTGGCTATATCACCCAAAATCATGACATGGGTATGTACTGTATAACAGGCACCTTAACTGAGCCTATTGCAGTCTAAACATTCCTAAATAGGTTCAAGGCTCTTTGATCTTGGAGATGAAAGAACAACATGATTCAAAAATATAAGTTAGGCACTTCAAAAAGTTAGGCCTGGCAACAGCAGGCAATTTTTTTAATAGCAGTAACTAATAAGCACTTCATACTGCACATGATATATTCTTCCTAAGTTGCATCAGATGTAGTCTTGGGGCCTCTTCCCATAAAGACCTAAGAAAAGGTCTGCTGACCATCTTATCCATGACCACCTCACTTTTTCAATATATTGCATAATTTGTTTTTTCTTATATAACCTTGAGACTTATTAGCTTGCTTATTAGTTTTCATGTATTAGAATACATGAAAATTGAAATGAACATTTCAAAAAATGCATTTATTATGAAACTATTTCACTGACACAACTGCATCTTTTTCCTGTTCTTTGCTGGTGCCCATGTTTTCCCTCCTGCACAGCAAAAACAGCTAACCCCCCACTTCTGTCTGTTTTAACATCTCCCAGCTTCTGTCTGATCTATCACAACTGCACATTTTGAAAGGCTCTACTCAGAAACTGCATTTGAGTCAAAAACCAAGCCATTATTTAGGTAAGCATTTGCACTTTTCCCTCTGTAACTAGAGGGAGAATACATAAGGATGTAGAAGTTCTAAAGCATGATAAAGCCTCTTATTTCCCATTTCCTCCAGACCCCTGTCCATCAAAATCTTTCTGCAAGTCTGAAGGAAACAAGGCAGGGAAGAATACTTTTTATGGGCCAATGTTTCTATGGAATCTGTGTAAAAACATTGCACCTTTGTTCTGGAGCTCTACCACGAAGAATTGTTCAAACATGGCAAAGATGATTAATATGCTGCAACATCTTAGGCAGGAAAGCTTATCCTACAGGTGGATCAAGGAGTCCAGGTGTTTGGAAAGCTGTCCCCTGCCTCCTCCAAGGATTCCAGAATCACATACTGCTTCTGGACCTTTTTCAAACCACCTTCTTAAAACACCTGGGCTCTCTCAGCTCCTTCTG